CTTACTCTGCACCCAGAAGGTGCAAGAGTCCCAAATAGGCTGGGCTCCGGGGATAGTGTGCGCCCACCTGCTTGCTGGAAACTCCACAGTTCTCTGAGAGCAGCCGGAATGGGGAAGCAGATGTAGATGCCTCAGACCCACTTAACCACTTCACAGCACCCCATCCTGGACTCTCTAAAAACCACAAAAGCCTACTGTGTGTGGGATGCCACTGTGTATGTCAAATATCATACACTTGGTCTATGTGATTGGTGTCTCGTTCACTGACACCTCGCCGTCTTCAACATCATTGGATACTCACCTTTTACTTTTAGTTAAATCATGTCTCCTCCTCCTCTGGGAGGCGCTGCCATGTGCATGATAAGGAAGGCTGAGGTTATCAGGGAAGATCATTGTGGAGGTGAGTAGATGTAGGGGAGCCTGAGAGTCCATAGCTGCTCAGAGGTTGGTCACTGGATGAGGGAGTTTGTTGGTGTTTTGTACACAGTGTCTTTCTTTGGCCCATGTACACATGAAGTATTTTTAAAGGTTATCCCTCTTGAATAATTTTAACTCATTTTATTAACAATTTTGTCATAAAGAACTCAGTTTCCTATGTGTCATGTTATCTCTGTTCAGTAAATACACACATGTGTGTGCACTTGCATGTGCATGAACAAATTTCTTCCATACTGGGTTTGAACCCAAGGTCTTCACACTGAGCAACCTGCCCACCCATTTTTTCATTTTAAATTTTATTCTGAGGCAGGATTAAATTTCTCAGGCTGGGCTCAAATTTGTGATCTTCCTGCCTCAGCTTCTCAGAGTGTTGGGGTTACAGGTATGTACCACCATGTCTAGCATCAGTAAATATTTTTTAATCAAACTCTCATACTGGAGATTTTACCATTCATTTCATGCAAAATTCACATCTTATAATCCTATTGACAAAAATCAGTCCTCAGGGTCAAACTAATCAACCAAGACATTTAGTTTATGTTGGGAACATAACCTGCCGTAATTATCCACTTTTAGGAAATATAATCCTGTGTGTTTTTGTGACAACTATTTCATCTCAATTCTAGTTCACAAGTAAATAAATAAATGGGTAGAAGCCCAGGGTAGTGGCACCCACCTGTAATCACAGGTGGCTGTGATTGGGAGGCTGAAGCAAGATGATTACTTTAAGTTCCAGGCAGCTGGGGCTACAGAGTGAACTCAACGGCTATCCTGAGCTACACAGTGAGACTCTGTCTCATAAAACCAAAACTAAAACCAAACCAAATCAAACCAAAATCAAATCCCTCTGGAAAAAAAAATGGATGGACACAGCCTTAGCATAAAGTTACTCTCTGAGAAAAGAATTATCTACTTCATTTTTATCCTTTTAATTAAGGGAAAAATAAATAAAAAATAGCAGGATATATTATAGTAACCCACTTTGATTTCCTATTAACTTGATTTGAAATTCTGTATTGCTCTCACCATCTTGTTTTGACTTATTTTCCTCTATTCTGTTATGTTAGATAGTACCAAGTTTGAAAGTCTAGGCAACAACTATGAAGACAATAAGATCCACTGTGACGCCTATTCTGGTTGACTATTATTTTCTTTTGAAGTCCTCTAATGTCTCCAATGTTTTGGTTTTATTGGTCTTATTCTTTACTGTTTTGTTCAATTTTATTATAACTGATGATATAGGCAATTCTTTTTAAGATAACAAGAGGCATTATGGTAACCATTGTTGATCACCTTGTATTTTGTTTTTACATTATGTATTATGTCCATCCTTTTGATTTGACTGACTCTGTCCTAGTATGTCACATTTGGTTTTACTTTCTTCCAAAAAAAGTAATAAGAACTATGGGAGTAATAAAACCCAAAATGTGTAATTGTCATTGTACAAAAGAAAGGAAAAGAAAGTTCTCTAAAAGATATAACTGCATGTATATTTAAGTGTATAAGATAGATAACCATATTATTGAGTTTTGTTGGATTATTGAACAAAACTGTTTACAGTCTCACTGTTTGAAAGTCCCCTCTATATGCTTTAATTTTGTAACTTCAACAACTATTTCTAAGATGACAATATGCAATTAACTAGTGATTTCCTACTGTTTATTTTTTCTGAAATTCTGTATAACTTGTACCCTTTTTCTGTTTTCTCCTTAAATAAAATTAAAAAAAAAAAAAAAAAAAAAAAAGAAAAGAAAAGAAAAGCCTCCCTCTTCGGTATTTCTTCCTAGAGCTCAGTTTGCTTTTTGGCTACAAGATATCTTGTAGCCAAAGAGCATATCTCTCAGGACATACTTTCTGTGTCTTGCCCAGACTTTTTGCACACAGGAGTAAAATTTGGGCTGGGTAAAAAGTCTGATGTGTAAAGTAGCAAGACAGGTAAAAGGTGGGAGGGTGAGGAGCTTTCAAGCAGACCGGCCTGGCGCAGGGTATCTAGGGTAGCCAAGGGTCTGGCAAACGCGTTCCAGATCATACTGTAGTAACCCCAGAGATTTCACACCCCAGTGTGGGACACAGCTAGAACTGGAGGATCAAGTACACCACAGCAGTTAAAGCTGTCTAAACACAAAGCAGCCTGATTTGTCTAAGGAGTCTCTTGTCTTTGGAGTTATTTACACAGAACCTGGGTGGCCGGTTGTCAAGGATAACCTAGAAGGAGGGCTGTTAGCTGGGTATAATTTTTTTTTGGTCTTTTTCATTTTGATTGGTACCAGGGATCGAACTCATGACTGCTTGCTTGCAAAGCAGGCGCTTATGCTGCTGAGCTAAATCCCCAAGCTGGGTATAAATTTGGCAGGAGAATATTAAGCCTCTCAACTCTGGAATCTGTGGTTTTTCAGCCACAGTTGCTTAGACTGCGGATATGTTGTTTTTACTCTTATTTTGAATGCTGAAATAAAGCAAAAGGAAATCATTATCTCTTAGTAAAGTAAGTAGTTATTTTTCCCTTTAAGGGTCTTATCTCTGTGTATTTTTACACAGTTAGCTCCATTTTCCGAGTCTGCCCACTTGGCAGCTAATGGGAGATGCAGGTCGCTTAACAGTACACAAATTGTTCTTCTTTTTAATTTCAGAAGCTGTGGGATCTGAAGTCAGGTTAGAGAGCACTCGTGAATTTATATACTTGATCTCAGCGGAGGAGGGACGCTTTTGGGCCGCAGGTCAGGAAGCGCAGACCCAGGAGGAGGGCTGGTGTCTGGGGCAGTGGGAAGTGGACAGCAGCGCGTGTGGGCAGCGCGGGGCGGGGGGACGGACTCCGGGGCGCGGGCTCCCCTCCCGGCTCCTCTCCGTCCCTGCCTTTGGATTTTGGGCCGCGCCTCGCGATTCTTTTCCTTTGCAGCAGCAAGCGCTTGCGAAGGATTCCGCAGGTGGGACCAGCGACAGCAGCGGGATCCCCGCAGGCCCCCAGTTCTGCAAGTCCAGGAGGGCAGTTGTGCGGTGTAGACATCTGTTTACACCTTGGATGAAAGATTTAACCAAAGGGTTAACGTGGGTGTGGTGGCGCACACCTGGAATCCCATCTCTCTGGGAGGCTGCAGCAGGACTGACAATTCCAGCCCAGTTTGGGCTACGCAGCAGTTTAGGGAGGCTCTGTCTCAAAGTGAAACAGAAAGGGGTGGGGATACAGCTCAGGGTGAAGGCGGTGGGTTCAAGTACCAGAACTGGGGCGGGGTGGCGGGGAGTAACTTAATGAGCTAAACTAGTGCCAGGATCCCATAGGCTTCAGCAATCTCAAACTCAGTGTTTGAGAATATTTGTGAATGTAACATGCTGCCAACTTGCCACATATCTCTTCACTGTTCTGGGTAGCTGTCAGTGACCAAAGACAAAGCACAAATCAGTGGTTCCGAGTCAGTTACCTGGAGCAGAAGGGCTCGTGGAAGGTCAGCGCAGTGCAGTGAGAGACACCACATGACTGCTCGGGTACACTCCATGGCTACATCCACGTTGATGGTAAAAGGAAGGGAAAGATCTTTTAAAACCGCAGCCCTATTTTTAATGGAAACGATTATTAGTCACTTGGATGGAGGAAGAAAATGCTGGATATGTATATCATAGAGAAGATTTCATGACAGACATGTTATTATATGAGTCCAAACGTTGATTCTGGATTTTAATTTAGGTATCAATTCACTGAACTGTCTAGAATGAAGAGAAGCAAAGTGAAGCAAAGCAGTATGCAATAATTTTTAAGAATTATAAAGAAAAAAAGAATTATGCAAAGAGTAAGATATTTATCAAAAAGATGACATTTTTTGGCACTGGGGATTAAACCCAGGGCCTTAGCTTGTAACTACATCCCTATCTCCTTTCTTATATTTTATTTTGGTGGTTGCTAAATCACTGAATTGTCCAGGCTGGGCTCAATTTGTAATCCTACTACTTCAGCCTCCCAGAGTGCTAGGATTATGGGTTATCAGTGGTTCTACTTGGGAGGCTGAGGCAGGATGATCCAAATTCAAGGCAAGCCCAAGCCCTGTTTTAATGTAAATAAAAAAGGCTGGGGTGTATTTAAGACTCCTTAGATTCAATCACCAACACTATTAAAAAAATGAGACATATCTCTTGCTCACTGACAGTTTACCTATACTTATAATTTTAAAATCATTGCAATAAAATATGAGTCTTATGTTTTTTTTCCCAGTGGGAAAATATATATTTGATGAGTTCAAAACAAACAAAACCAACTTAAGAAAAGGGAAAATGACAAGCATTTCTTTTTTACAAAAAGAAGAAGACTCCTTTTTGGTGTATGTAGCCATAAGTACTTTTCCTCACTTGCACTATAGTGTGGAAGGGTGCAGTTTACGCATACTCCTGAAGTCATGAAGATGAACTGTGTCCAGCTAGGAGAGGTCAGACAGTGATGGTGCTGAGGAATGTTTTACAATACGTAGAAACAAAAGGGAAGTCAGGGCAAGTGGCAGCCTGCCCCTGAGTTGCTACCTTTTTATTCAATAAAGAGTTTATAGACTTTGGAATTGAAATGACAGCAAACAACATCCTTTGTTCAATAATCATTTTATTTACTTATGTCACTGTGAAACTTGGGAATAATATTCACCACAAATTTGCAGGCATCATTTTACAGTACAGAAGACGGACTTGTCTGTAGGAAAAATAACAAAATGGATTGTGACACTGGTTTACTGAGGAAGTGCTGGCCATGAGCAAATAATAAAAAACGGTAAAATTCAGTGCCTTTGGCAAAGATGTGGACACTGTTTTCAATGCAAATAGAATACATGCCCTTTGCTTACAGTTCAAATACACACCCCTCTCGCTTTGTACAGTGGCTTCTCTATATTCATTCTCCAGAGTTAGAAGGGTGAGAGAGTCTCTAAACAAAAGTGTCCCCAAAAGCTTCCTGCCAGCAGTAATCATCATGCAGATTCACCAACTCGGAAGCTCCTTTCAATGCAATTACCCCTCAAGTCTGCACCAAATGTGGTGACGGTTTGCATATATAAAAGCAATAAGGAACTTGCTTAGACTGTGCCCTTCCCAAAGCTCTAAGCAGAAGCCCTACAAAAATGTCTCTGGATTGCTGTACACAGGAGGCTGAAAGTGGCTGTGTTTTGGGCAAGAAATAAATATAAAAGACGACATTTGTTTAATTGTTTGTAGAACAGGATAAATGATTCTCTCCTGATAACTCTCCACACCAAGCAAAATGGCATGTGGATGTTCTAAGCTACACCGCAGATCTTCACTGGTATAAACAGAAACTTGTATTTGCGGAATCTTGGGCCCGCAGTTCTCTGTGCAGGGCGGGCACCGAGTGGGTTTCTCTTTATTGCCTGATCTTTTAAAAGTTGTGGAGTTCTAGGGATTGAAGAGAGTACATTTTTTTTTCTTTTTCAGACTCTAAATTATTCACTACTTCAGATGTTTAAGCTACTGTATTTCTCTTTCCTGCTCAGTAATATTTAATTAGATAATCATATTTAGGAACCAACCAGTCTTTCCTTCTCAATCAAATGACTCCTGATTACACCAGCAGTGCACAACAGTGATGTGCACGGCTTTCGGATGAACATTTGTTCCACCAATAAGTCATTAAGCATTCCAGATCATTTATTGAATGCTTGCTGTATCCCAGCCACAGGGAAACAGAGAGCTGAGAAAGATCCATTTTCCATTATTGAGGAACTCACAGAATTTCAGAGGAAAATAGTTTGGAGTTTGGTGTGTGAATTGCAGAGCTGCCAAGTATTTTGGGCTTTAAGAAAATAATAAACTTTTATACTCTAGAGATGATCTTTTTAGTTTAAGATAGGGTTATTGGGTTCTCATTTGGATGGGGAAAATTTTACAAATACTTTTTTTTCCAGCTGAGAGTGTGGCTACCTTTTCTATCTCTTGCATTAGCTTTTCATGTAGAATGTTGTGCAACTGAGATGTGAGTCTCCTGGGATCTCTGGGTCATTATTTAGGGTGCTCTTGGACCGTTTCCGAAGGGTAGTGTCAGAGCTCTGAGCTGAGTCTCTTGAGTTTTCAGTAGAGCAACAGGCCTATTGCTGTACTAAAGCATTTGGACGTCTACTTCCACCCACCCAAGTGCCCTATGAACCTCTGTGTGTGAAGCTCTGAATTGTGATGCACGTCTGACAGCACACGCACTGCTCATTCGGAAGCTCGTCCACTAAAAATTGTGTTGCTACAGACTTACACTGAGTATCGCCATTTTATGAACTTTGCCCTCTTTATTTACTTTACTATTTAACATGAACCTCCTTTCTCAGATGGCAACACTGAAGCCAGAAAAAAAATTCTCTAGTCCTGATGAGCACTGGGTTACCATTCTCAGAACCTGTTTCTCAGGTCTGGAGTATTTGCTTACGTAGCATTTTAAAGTCACAAACACAAAAGAAGAGAACATGAGCCTGACGTGCAGAGGCAAAGGAGACAGACTATCTTTAGACTCTTATTGACTGGAATTAATCCCTGTTTAGACAGGTTTGCTGCACAGTGCAGTGGAGAAAAATACTCTTGGAGGAGATGGCAGCAGTAGGATGATTTAGCTTGAAGAAACTGTAACTTTAAATGCTTTTTAGTTTTTAGGATAACCACCTCGAGTAGGACTATTAAACTTCAGTCCTACTGTGAGAAATACCACTGCAAAATCATAACAAACTTTTTGTGTGTGGCATGGGGGATTGAACCCAGAGTCTCCACACTGAGCTACACCCTCAACCTTACAGTGTCTTGCTAAATTGATAAATTCTGGGATTACAGACATGTGCCCAGCCAAAACAAACTTCTGCTACCCAGCAGCTCAGACTGTCCAAGCTCAGGTGCAGTTTTCAGACTGGAACATTTAAACAATAGAACTCCAGTTTTACTTTACCAACAAATTTCAAGAGCTCGATAGAGTTTGTTGTGTTGAAAAATCTGAGTAACTCTATGCATGAATGAAACCTGAGAATTTCAAGCATTCACCATATTTTCCATGGTACATTCATTATGGTAGCTCTGAAGGTCAGACTACTCCTTCATTTTGGCCTGTTGGCTATCAGAAGGTAAGTTAGAGAGGCATGGTAGTGGATGTCTGTAATCCCAGTCCTCTGGGAAGCTGAGGCAGGAGGATCAAGGTCTGAGTCCAGCCCAGGAAATTTGGGACTTAGTGAAACTCTGTCTTAGAATAAGAAATGTAAAAAGGGCTGGAGATGTAGCTCGGTGTGAAAGGCCTAGGTTCATTCATTGGTACTGCAAAAACAGAAAAAAACAGTCAATTAGAGGTGTATAAGTGTTATTGTTTAGTGTGAGCCTGGGGAAAGCCTGGGTTAAGAGACAGACATGTCTGAGGACATGCACTGAACGGTGACAGGAGACCAAAAAAGAGACCAAGAAGTCAGCCCTGCTTATTCTCAGGTCAGTGCTTCTTTACTCTATTGCACACCCCCACTTGTCCTCACACGTTACCAGAGCCAGACTAGACTTTCCATCTCGCAGACACATGTCCCCGTGTTAGAGTCATCTCTATGCAATTAAGCCCAGGACACCCTGGATGATCCTGGCTCCTCCTCTGTCTCACTACCATCTGCATCAGGTTTCACTGCTGGGCCAGAGCCTGGGGGATCCTCTCTTTCTTCCTGAAGACAGAGCTAAAGCAGCCAGTTTTGCAGCAGCATCCAGCCCTCCTGCCTCTCTCCCTCTGCATGGAGCATCTGTTCCCTCTTGGCAGAGCCACAGGACCTGCCTTTCTGCAGCACAGGAAGTGGGATGGAGTGTTCATATGCCTTGTGGGTCTTTAATCATGGTAGCGTCTGATGCTTGTGGCTTTTGGTCTGCTTTCTTTTGGTTAGAATCTAGCGCTATCAGCTATTGAGATACGAATAAAATGGAGCCAATATAGAGTGAAGGTTGAGTTTGAGAGACGAAGGGTGATTCAAGCAGGAGGGAGAAAGATCATCAAGGCCACAGGGCAAAAAATGGGCAAAAGAAAGCAGAGTCAAAAAAGACGGAAAAGGGTGCTTACTTCTGTTCATCCATTGAGGTTTGGAGAACAGAGTGTGCATGTGTGAACAGAGTGTGCGTGTGTGGTGTATATGAATGAGTGTAGGGGAGTGAGGAGAAGGGGAGAGATTCATGTCTCCAGGGTATGCTTTATTTCCTGCTTTCACTTGAAGTAGATAATCCTGTAACTGCAAACCTCATTCACGTGGGACTGTGGGATGAAACAGTTCAGTTCCAAGATTGGAGATCAAGATGTTTTCATCTTTTGTCAATGCTGACCTCCTGTAACGACAAGTGCTATGAGAAACGCATGTGTAACTAATGTTCTGTTGCAAACACTCACTACGTTTTCAGTGAAACTTCTAAATTTCATATTCAAATAAGTCTATTTTGCTTGTTTTCCTTTCTGAAGAGGGCCCGAGAATTGGCTGTATCTTTGTATCAAGGGTCAGCCATTAATAATTAGGAGCAGCTTTCATCTGTAAGAGGTTTTAAAAACAATACTACAAAACCAGCAGCAAAAAAGGGGAGCTAGAGTCTTGGGTTTGTTCCTTTTCTATCATTACCATCTCATAAATGGACAAGAACCAGGAGATACTCATGTTTAAATGGAATACTAATTAATCCTTTAAATTTTATCTAAGCTCAGGGTTCCTTTGTTTCTTAAATTTAATTAAAAAAAATTTTTTTTTTAAACAGGGAACAACTCTTTAGAAGAGGCAGAGTGGAAATTTCCTGTAAGGCTGGGGATTACTGATCTACTGGGAGACTTGAATCAGCATTCACATATTTACTAGTGCCTGGTCAATTTGAGTAATACAATATAGTTGCAATCACCTGCTGGACATTTCACAAGTGGGTATATAACATTCTGTAGTTTGCTATACACATTAGAAAATAGTCTCTGGTTTTTCTTGTTCTTTGGTTGAATGTGGGCCAAAAATTAAAATAAAATTCTTACAATTTGCTTTCCCCCTTTGTAATATGATTTCATACACAAAGATGGGGGTGCCTTGTTCAGAACCCATCAGGTTTAATTTGAGTGCTTTTAAACATTTATGTTGAAGCGACAGTTGACATTTTACTACCTAGAAAGAGCTAGGCACTTGCAGATGCCAACAAGATGACATTTTTCTTCTTCTTCTTCATCACAGGAAAGCTCAATGGACTCACTGCTCAAATGGAGCTTAAAAGAATCACTTTTAAAGGATACCATGACTGAAGAAGTCATATTTATCAACATTAAATAAACATTTGGTGAAGTATGCATAAATATTTCTTCATATAAACATAACATGACATTAAATAGATCAGATACACACACACCACTGAGTACACGTCCACTGCTCAAAGTTGTCTGTAAACACCACCTCACACTGAATACAAAAGCAGCTTGGGTCCCAGCTCTGGGTCTACCTACCACACAGATGCCGGGATGCAGGGAAGAGGGCTCCGTGCCTTCCCACCCCCCACCCCACCTCCCACTCCCCACACAGCCCCAGCAAAGGGAAAAGGAGGAACCCTACAATGACAGCAGCAGTGAGACAACAGCGAGAGCAGCAGGACCCCTCCCATCCCCTGGAGAAAACAAGGAGCACTGGGAGCAATTCAAAGGATAATACAAACTTAGTTTTCAAAAGGTAAGGAAATCAATTTGAAGCAATACTTTCCAAGTGTAATTCTTTCTTCGGAGGCCAGGTCACTTCCTAGTCCATCTATTCCTGGGTAAAAGTTACACATGAAAGGCCAGAAGGCCAGAAAGGCCTGGCCACTTCTAAGCAACAGGGGTCGCCCTAGTTTCTTATAGAAGATGCCAGGTAGCAAAAATGTAAATACAACATTTTCTTCCTCCCCTCCCCACCCCAGTGTTTCTTTTGCTTTGCAGTATATATTGCTGAGTGTGACATTCAAACATGACACTAGGATTGATGTCAAAGTAGTTTAGGTTGCAGACATTTTGTTTTGAAACATTGAGATTTGGGTGACTAAATCCAAACCTGTGGATGTGGTTCATTCCTTAGCTCAGAGGGGCCCCAAGTTAGCTCTGTGGGTGGAGAGGTCAGTAAAGGAGACTGCTTACGCCCCGAGTGCAGCTGAGCCATGCTGCCCGACTGACTCGAGGCTATCCGCTCTGCACAGGTCTGCTGGGATGGCCTGGCTGCTCTCTGCTGAATAGTCTTCAGGGTAGTTTGTGGAAAACAGACCCAGTGTCAAAAATGTTAAACTGGGTTTATTTCACTTTTATATTGTATAGGATCCTAGAGAACTTCAGTTACCAAAGTACTGAAAGCGTATATTGCAGGAATAATTTGCCAGTTCAGTGCCTCCCATTATACTATATACACTATGTGTGTGTGCAACTCACACACACAGATATATATATATATATATATATGTATACTTATACATTTTTATTTGTATGAAACTTCAACTCACAAAACAGTATTTTGCAAGAATCAGGAATTAAGTCCACAAATAAAGTTCAACAACACATCAAAGAGAGGACGGAAGCTCTATTGGGACAAGAAGGTTCAGCTTTGCGACATACGGCATAATTTCAGAACCACAGATTTATGAGCCTACTGTGTTCCACATGTGGTCTGCGTCGGCACTTGGAATCCTTGGGAAGAACAGCACAACCAGGCAGGCTAGGCTTATCTGCGATTCCAGAACTAACGGGAATTAAAAGACTCAGGCAAATCAATTTGCTGTGAAGCAATATTTTTTTTCCTCTTTAAGAAAAAAACAAAACCAAAACCAAAACAACAATTGACGTCTGTTTCAGAATAAATTTCTTTATATTCAGTAGTAGGCTTTTTTTTTTTTTTTTTTTTTTTTTTGCTGACTTGGTATTTGACTTTTTATGTTAAAATCAGTTTATTCAGTGGGTCAGTAAACAGGCAGCTTCTTCCACATGTGGATGATAAAAATTTTTTTTATCACCACCAGGAATGACCCCCACCCTCACCTTATTTCTCCTAAGGTCTGTGGGTTGATGTGTGCGTTTTGTCTCTACTATGGATCAAACCTCCTTCTACAAGGCCTGCTCTGGCACGCGCTTGTGGAAAATGACCGACTGTCTCTGCTGGTACTGCTGCTTACGTCTCTTCCTCTTATCACACTGGCACAGCAGTAGCATCTTGAAGGTGTTTCTGAAGGTTTTGTTGCACAGGGCATAGCACACGGGGTTCACGGTGCTGTTGATGTAGCACAGCCAGTAGCCCAGATTCCAATAGGTTTTGGGTATGCAGCTGTCACAAAACGTATTCACCAGAACCATGATGTTGTAGGGGGTCCACGTAATGATGAAGGCAAGTAAGATGGCGCTGAGGGTCTGCGCTGCCTTCTTTTCCTTGATGAGGGACATCCTCTTCCGCTTTGTGATCTGACTTCTGGTCTTCAGAGCAAACCTCTTGGCCAGTGTGGCTTCCTTGAAAGACAGAGGTAGAGTGGCCATGGTCTTACTCACTGAGGAGTTGGCATCAGAAGTCTTGGCTGTGTCCATGGTGGACTCCAACTGGATGGGAAGATTGGAGAAGCTTTTTTGAAAACTGCCGCCGTCATCCATACTTTTTTGGGTCTGAGGCTTACTGGCATTTCTCTCCATGTCCATTGGCTCCAAGTCCTCCTCAGGTACTTGCAGGTTGTCAGAGGAGGGCAGTTTGGTGGAGTTGAGGATGGTGCTGTGTCCTGGAAGCTTGAGCACAATAGAGTAGATAGCTCTTGTCTCTGAGCCAATGTCCTCCTCATCGGAGGAGGCAGAGTTTTCCAGGGAGGCAGCAGCATCATTGTTGTTCCAGCTGTCACTACTGCTGTGGTCTTGGTCCATCTGCTCAGCGTTGGGCTTCCAGCTCTTGGTTGCAAACCAGAAGTGGCAGCGGCTGTATTTTCTCCTGGATGAGTGCTTCAGGCTTTGCTGCTGTAGTTCATAGCTGCTGCAGCTTCGAGAACTGCCTGTGGGATGGACAAAGTTTTCTGTCTCTGCTTCTGTCCCAGAGGCCTGCAGGCCAGCGAGCTCTTTGGTACGTTTTTCAGTTTCCTTATAGATTCTCCAGTACAAAATAGTCATAATGGTGACAGGCATATAAAAGGCAGCAATGGCCGTGCCAAAGGTGATGGTGGGCTCACTGAGGAACTGAATGAAGCACTCCCCAGGAGGCACAGTTCGCTTCCCCACAAAATACTGCCAGAACAAGATGGCAGGAGCCCAAAGGACAAAAGAGATGACCCAAGCCAGACCAATCATCACACCAGCTCTCTTTGTTGTTCTTTTGGCTCGATAGGTGAGTGGCCTTGTGATGGAAAAGTACCTGTCAAAGCTAATGACCAGAAGGTTCATGACAGAGGCATTGCTGGCCACATAATCAATGGAAAGCCAGAGGTCACAGGCCAAGTTCCCCAAAGCCCATCTGTTCATGATGATGTAGGTAGTAAACAGATTCATGGAAATGACCCCGATGATCAGATCGGCACAGGCCAGGCTTAGGAGGAAGTAGTTGTTGACTGTCTTCAGCTGTTTGTTGACCTTAAATGACACTATGACTAAGATGTTGCCGATGATGGTCACCAGGGCCAAGAAGCCCGTTAAGAATGCGATAAAGACCACTTGCCAGATGGTATGACCTCCTAGCGGGTCACTGGTGGTACCATTTAAGGAGGAGAAATTCCCAGCTGCTTGTGAAATGTTGTAGCTGCCGAAATGAGTGACTGTCCCTGGGGGTAGCCCTGCTTCTGATGGGCTGTGTATCCAGGAGGTGCTGATGTTTGGAAACAAAGGCAAGGTTGTACTGCTATTGTGCAAGGTCATTGTGACTCTCTGACATAGTCTGGGAAAAAAGAGAGAGAAAAATGGAGTTAGGAAACTTTCTGCCTTTGCTACATTCTTTGCATAGCATACCTTAAAAGACACAGAAGACCTGTCATAAGAAGATGAATCTTGAAGAAACCAAACGTTATTAAGTTATTTCTGTCATCTTAACAGTGAAGCATCTAGGGCAAGATAAGGCAATTATCTAATGACATGTGCTGGCCATTGTGCTTTTCTCCATCATTTCCTCATTTCTAAATATATTCTGTGTGCTTAGGTTAGCAAGCAAAACAGCATTCTTATTTGTCTTCTCTTATTTAAAAAAAAAAAGGGAAATAGTAGATGCTTTTATGACAGTTGTTCCACATAATTCATTATCAAGTTATTTGATAGATTAACTTGATTCATCTTTAAAGATGAATGATTAACCTGGTGATAAATCTGGTGATTAACCTGGCTTAGGCTTCAGACATAAACTACTTTTAAGTGATACCAGTCATTTAAGCCTCACTGGAAAGAGCAAAATGCCAACCTTAGGAGAGCAAGCAAGTGTAAATCAACTCACATAAAGTTTTGAGTTGACCATATGGTATTTAAAACATGGGCTGAAAACATAATGTGTTGGTTTTGTGTGTTTGCTGCCATGCTCATTTCTTCACACTCTGAAGAGCCTTTATCATTCTAACTCCTTCAGTGCAAAGGTTCTTGCACATTGTAGTACATTTCCCTCCTCTGCTAAGGTTGCCTTAAAGCCTTTTTTACAGACCTCTTCTTGACACCCCACCTGAGTTCCTCTGAATCTTATATGGATTTCTACAATATTTAAAAAAAATGCTTAGCTATTTAAACACTTTCCAAGTCTTTGCTCTCACGTTCTATGGGACAGTGATCAGTTCACATGTCTTAGGACATGCTGATTTTATTATCAATAAATGCACTGCCCAATAACCCAATGCTTCACTCATTTGTCTTCTTTCATCTCTTTTATTCTTGTCAGTGGATGTCTTAATGTATGTATGTTTGTCATTTTTTCAGAAGTAATCTGTCATCTACACCACATGTTTTGGGATAGGAATTCATTATGTGGTCCTGAGCCCTGATCACAGTAATTACTTGGAGATGACACAGCAGGATCAAACTCAGGATATGGTATGGATGCTGATGAGAAAGAAATTCTTCCTATCTGGGGCTGTTGGGTGCTGTTCACCCTATTGCAGATTGCATGGAAAACCTGAGAAGCTAGCAAATACAGAGGAAAGAAATCGGAATAAAGACGGTAGGGAATGTGGAAAACAAGACATTACAATGAGTCTTTTGAAAACTAGAGTTAGCTATTTCTAAATCCATATAGTGGCTTTTTTGATCTTGCTGCTTATGTGCACTGATAAACTGCCTTTGCTGCCTGGACCGGCTGAGATAGGTTTCTGCCATCTGCAATTAAAAGGGTCCCAATTGACATATTTTGTCATTATCAATGCATATGCTTGCAGAACCACAAAACTAATATGGTGGCTTTAGGCTGTTACACTCTGCACTGTGGAACTCAATAAGTTATCATTGCTGCCCTCTGTGAGATATTCCCTTGAGAAATGGACATGAATAAAATATTTTAAGAAGTACCAAGTTATTTAAGCAATTTAAATTGCTCCCTGTGACTAGTCGCATAATGTTTTTACAAATCCAATAGCAACTGACTTTATTCAGTTGACCAATGTTATTGAAGAACGTAAGTAAAAATCTTGGAAATCAGCCCAAAGGTAAATTCTTTTTTTTTTAGTCTATTTTATCACATGAATCTGTAGAGCACAATACTGTTTAAATATAGAAAATCAAAGGCACTGAAACAGAGAAAGATATTGACAGGTTTGTCTAGCTCTCTATGTGATTTATTAAGTACCTGTTTTGCCCTGAGTAGAATCCAGCAGCTTCCTGACTAGTCACTAGAAAACCTTTGAGTCACAGACTATTGGATGTGACCTTGGACTTGCATTCTTTGACATATACACCAGTGACCATAATTAATCTCATAATTCGACATTAATTTAATATGTAATACCTTTTTGAAAGTCTCAGTGGTGTGCTTTTTCTCATCTTTAAAGATGTTTCAGAGTTTGTCCACCATGCAATGAATGTTGATTATGAGCAGAGAACAAAAATTAAAGCTACAAAACAGCCATTAATTGATAACAACCACTAATGTAGTCACTTGTTTCTTCATGGGATACAATACACAAAGGACAATAGTTAATAAGTCAATAGATAGTAAGTTCAGAGTTAATAATCATAGCACTCTCAATGTCAACAGTTATGTTTTCTTCTAATAACCAGATATACAGAAATAAATTAATCTGATACACGAACACGACATCGAGGACAATAAAACTTTTTTGGATGGGTAGTAGAAATGGTGAGTGAAGCATATTATCACAACACTTGATGACTTGAAACTGGGAGGAGAGAAATGCCTAGGAATTTCCAGGCACTTATATGATGCCATGATACAGTGAGATACATTGATAGTAGTTCTATTAATAAACTGAACACTCTTATCACAGAAATAATATTTCACTAGAGAGCAGAAAAGCATATTTGAAAAATCACAGTCTTTAAAAGCTGGCTGATTAGGGTTTGAGTTCTGGCTTAGCCCAAAAAGTGTAGAGACCTGCAAGTTGCCTGTTGATTCTGGGACCATACTTTTTATTTACAAGCTACCATAACTACCACCTACGCCAAGCGGCCTGGGGAGGGTGTAATGCATTACAGTGTGGCAGGCTAATATTCCACAATATTAATGAATATGTGGCCTTCTGTTTGCCAATGCCAGCTTCTCATGTTCTCAGAGTTGAGTTGTTTCTGCAGATGCCTAGGAAGAAAGAAACCTATCTCATCTCAGATTTTGCTTTAAAAGTTGACTTTAAATACTCCACAGACAGAAGAATGTTAAAGATAAAGGTCTTTAAACAATGCAAACATATAAGACTGAGTGTCAATGAATAGTGTACTGGCCTCAACTCTAGGTAAATAAGGATTTCCCCTTGCCCCATTCATTTGTCTAAATAAACTGACAACAACTGCTAAAAAGGGATTTGGCAATATTGACACTGAGAAAGTGTACACCAAAACCAAATTTAACTTCTAAAAATTATTGTATTAAAGAAGAACAAATTTAGCTTCTACAAAATTAATTTAACTTCTAAAATTATTGAATGAAAGAAGATGTGGAAAAAGAAGTTCACTGAAGCAGTTGTTAAGACAAAAATTAAGAAATCTAAAGGAATACCAATTTTGGAATGAATTAAAATTTGATACATAAAAAGGAATACTATGTTAAAGGTAAAAGTAATTGGCATGATTTGTAAGTATTAACTTGAAAAGTTTTAAAAATACACTGTTGAGTAAGAAAGCAATTTGGAGTTGATGACTCTAATGTTATATAATTTAGACAATAGTGAAATACATTAAAAATAATATATAACTTGTATACTAAAGGCAATATTTAGCTTATGTACTTACAGATTTAACATTATCACAAAAAGAGAAATCCACGAGCAATTCACAGATTAGCAGTAGTATATGGGTGTAAAATGATTAGGATTGAGGTGCTGGTAAAGAAAAAAAATCACCATTCATTCCTGAAGTCAGGGGAGTGGAAAAGATTTAAAAAGGAAGATGGCTTTCATGTCGAGAATGGATTTGGAATCTGCACTCTATCTGCTGTGGCTTTTAAGTGGGCAAAATTCACAGGAAAAAAGGTCTGACAACACTGGTGACACAAGACCCACAAGTATGTGTTTTATGCCCTTCTTGGCTGGTGTTTGGAGGAGGTGATAGCTACTCAGAGTCATGAGGGTAGACCATCCAAATTGAAAGCTCTTGCAAATAGATTCTTCTGTAATCCTGCCCCCAGGGGAGCTCAGCCTGGTCAACAGCCCTTTGATTTCAGGTTTGGGAGACCCTGAGTAGGAAACTGCTAAATTTGTTATTTATTATGTGGCATGGGGTCTGGTATCAGTTAGCTCTGCTTATTATGGCTGCCTGCAGAGACAAGTGTGGAAGAGTGCAAAAGGGCAGGCTGTGTACTGGAAATCTGGAGGATTCAGTCAAAAGTCAAAGATCGGGAGCTCTTTCAGAGTCCCACCTGAGTTCTTATGAGGAAGCCTAAGGAAGGCTTAGGCTGGAAGACTCGAATGTGCTGGAATGTGCTGGAAGACTAGAGTGTGTTGCAAGGCTGAAGAATCCGTGCTGGGAGCCTGTAGACAGATGGCCAAAGGCAATGGTGTAGACTTCTTTGAAGAAACAGAGTGCGACTTCCTTCTTATTTCATTTAGTCTACAAGCATGTTGGTTGGTGCGACACACACCAGGGATGGTTCTTCTCTCTTCAGAAGGTTGATCTTTCAGACACATCCAGAAACATGCTAAACCCATTTGCTGAGTGTTTCTTACTCAAACTGACATTAAAGTTAACTCTAATAATTCACCCCTTGTCAGATTGAAACCAGACACATTTCCTTAATGTTCATGACAGGGGTGAAATTCATGTGTTCCCATTTCTGGGTGGCTTGAGTCACTGGTGGAACATGCATGACTGTCTCATGCATGTACTGTTGGGGTCATGTGTGTGCTGCTGGTGGTCTTGCATGTGCCATTGGTAGTTCAAGCTGGTGGGAATGTGTTAAACCATTCTTAGTATCCAGATACAAAAACAAGTGCATAATCGTTCCTGACATGGTACAAGTATCCTGTGTAGGAATAGAAACACACTGATTCCCTCCCTAGAGTAAAGGCAAGGTTTTCTTTGGGTAATGTGTATTCCTAACATTTCATAATTTAAACATTATAACACAGACTTAAAAACACATAAGAACCAACACTAGTTCTATCAACATTATGTTACAAAGGAAGCACATTAATAAAATAGTAAAGAACAATTACAATCCTCATGGCTGCAGGATTGTGGCTGGTATTTATAATTACCTTCTTCTATTACTCATTCTGTATTCCCTTGGCCTTCAAGCAAGCATCTCAGTAGGTCTTGACTTTTTTCCTGGTGGATCAACTTATACCTTCATTTCCCAAGGTTCTGGGCCACTTGTCATCCTGCTTGGATTTGTTCTTGTAGTTTCCCATTGACATAATAACAGTGCATGTTAGGGGGAGCCCTAAGGGATAGCCTGCACTGCAAGGATATTTTTCCTTTCTGCATTGTGGAGTAATGGTTCAATTTCCCCTTGGTAGTCTGGATCACCTCTGCCAACACCATAACTCCTTTTTATTTGGTTAGTGCTAACCTTAGACTTCCTAAGTCATCCTATGCAGGAGTCCCAGGAAGGCAGTACGAACAGGGGTAAGGGATGTGATCAGGGCAGAGAAGCCGCATGACTCTTCTTCCCTGTCACGAGGCTTATTAGGTACTGAAGGCCTTGATACTGGAGTGTCTGGGGGCACAAGAACATGTAGGCAAGAAGTACAACCCTTAGCATGAACCAGCCAGTGGGAAGTTGAGTGCCTTGGAGGCAGGATGACACTGAGGTGTGGGTTAGCTACAGCTGGGTATATATATGAATATGTATATGCACATAAAAAATGTAAAAGCTGGTTCTTAATTTCATCTCTGAGTGTGTTTTTCCCAGATCATTTGACCATTTTCTCTCCCTCACATTTTGGTGTACATGCAGAATTGATCCCCTAAGTTTAAAATGTGCAAGTCAATATGGCAATTTTAGAAAAAGAATATAAATTGAATGGGATAGATCAGAATATCAACTACTTAATGACAATAAATATTGTTCCACTGAACTTTGGTTTTACATAGCCATCTCTATATAAATATAGGATCACTATAGGATAGTATAGTATAGGATCACTATACATACAATATATTTCATGGTCAGGAGTGTTTGAAAACAGCTGTAGGGAACATCGTAAAATTTTAATATTTAAGGGAAAAGTTTGCAGCTAGGGATGTAGCTCAGTAGAGTGCTTCTTAGCATGCACAAGGCTCTAGGTTCCACCTCTAGCACCAAAATAAAATGATAATGGGTGAAATAGAAAATGTGAAAAAGAAATCACTTAGATAGACTGCATTTAGAGGAAACTGAAAGTTACGGGTACTTTATCTTTTATTTCCTAGTTAGGAAAGCAAGTCCTTTATATCCTGGTGTTATACATCTGTGAAACATAGACAACTCTTTCAAATTGGGAATTTTATGAGGATTCTGTATGTGTAAAAGTGCTTGGAGAGCCTGAAAGACCAACATAAAGACTTCCAAGGAGAAAAACTCGCTTGAGTTTCTCTAAGGCTTAGTCTAAGCCATACTGGCAGTAATGATACTGGAAGAAGGATCCAGCACTTTAAATTTGTAAACCTGTTTAACTGCTGAAAACATGTAAATTATTTGTTTTTCCCTAGAAGTCTAAACTAATTCTACTTCTAATAATTATTCTTTTTCTTATAATGAAAAAATTTTTTTGCAGTGAGAAACCATGTCTTTTTGTAAAGACTACTTAGTGTTTCTTCCCTATTAGGAATCCAGGATGCATAATTTTTGATGGCTTGTTTTGAGTCTCTGACAAGAATGTCTGTTTTCTGTCACAATTCATTAGAGTATTCAACAGCTAATGTAACTTTTCCCAATGTTATTAGGTCTGGCGAGTGGAAATACCAAATCTGTTCACTAGGTGGCAAAGCAGATTCGAAGAACCAGCTCTGTAGAAGAAACCAAAGCCGCGGGTTCCCCCGGCAGGGACCAGGAATTTTGCCTAGTTCAGTCATGAAGTCTGTGAAAGACATCAAACAGGGTCAACAAAGCTTTGCAATTAAATGCGTCTTTAAAGGGAACCAAACTTGTGAACTGAGCTCTTGGTGTCCATTTCAGAATGCAAGGAGAAAAGATGTTACCTAATTTGGTGCAAATTGCTCTTGTGAAAAAAAAATTTCTGAATGTTAAAAGTGGAATAAAATTCCACTTAGAAAAGAGAAAGCTTGTTTTCAAAGAACTGATATAACATGTTATCTCTCTGGTTATTGCCTTTCATATGTTCTTATTTGATTTGACATCAGAAGTGTAATAAGTTTGGAAAAAGTCTTACATTAGTACTGCGTAAGCATGGCAGTTGATGCTGAAATGACATGGTTTTACCTTAAAAACAAAAATTTAAAGTGGACTAAAGATTTTCTGCATTTGCACTTTGTAGTCTTGATACCTTTTGATATTAGAATTTGCAAAGAAATGGCATAAAGTAAAATGCAGAATGAGCAATTGTTTTAAGCGTCTGTAAGACTCCTTTACCCAAAGAGGCCCCTTCACCATTCCTGAAGTTATTATCTCCTAAATATAGAAGGAAAACATGTGGCTAGATTCTGTTTATCAAAACCTTCACAGTCTAAAGGTACTTACTATTTTCAATATTCTGAAGCCATAGTTATTATTTACTTTCAATACTGTGCTTTTGCAATTTAAGATAGAGAACAATGGCTTGAAAACATCAGTTGAGCTTACAGACTTGTGAAAATAATTCTGCTTAAAAGTTGCCTAGGGGAGACTAAATATTTCTGATATGTCAGCCTATGTACTGAAAGGACACCTGGTGAAGATATTTTTTTGGTCTAATATTTATACTTTTGTGATTAATTTAAGTTATACTCATTAGGATTATTGTCAAGGCCCACATTTATCAGAATGTTTATTTTTATATCTGGACATGATCCACACATCTGATTTTCTTTCAAACTTCAGCCTATTTGCACGCCCGACTCAGACAGGTATATATGCAACTGTAAGTTTGCAAAGAAAGTAGAAGCAGTGTGGGCGGCGAGCACCAAGCTGTGCCGCCAGCGCTGCCACAGCAAGTTAGAATCAGGGAAGGTACCCGATTCCACACATGGGCGCATTCCCTGAGAACTCTGATCCTGCTTCCTCGTCTATAAAGTAGGGATTATAAAACTTGAGGATTAGGTAGAATTCATGTAGAGTACCCAGTACGGCCTGCCTGACCCCTAGTACTATAGTTTCTTAAAAATGGTATGATCAATTTAATAATTTTCTCTGATAGGTTGATTTTAAGAATCCCTTTTCCATGCCCAACAAAAGCTAACTGCTGTTAAGTCTAAAGTGGTCCCTGGGGATACCTGGAAATGTTTGGATCTAGTATTTCTCCTGTCATAACTTGGAGAGAATGCATTCTTAGCATCTAGGGTGTTGATGCTAGGGGTGCTGCTAAACATCCTTTAACGCCCAGGATAGCTCCCAACAAAAAAATATCTGGCCCAAGATGTCAACGAAGTCAAGGCTGAGAAGCCCTGGCACAAAGAGAGATAAGAGAGAAAAGTTGCATTTTTTTTTCCAGAAAACTTCCTGATACTGATTAATAGGGCAAACGCTAAATCTCTTAAAGAACCAGCTCTCATTTATCTTCTCTGGGCACTAGTTTCTAAAGGATGTATCTCATACTCATGCAGCTGACTCTCCAGATATTGTTTCAGATAGTAAATATGACTGAACATTTCTGGAGGCCTTAGACTGGGTACATGGTTCTCAAGGAACCATTGATTGGTGATCCTATTAACTAAATAAAATAATTGCAACAGAAATATGGATAATCAGCTCTGCATGAGTTGGCAGGGAGGCAGCAAAGAAAAGGATATTGTATAACTCTTCAGGAATAAGACTCCAGGAAGGCTAGGAAGAAAAGGGAGAACACAGCATTCCAAGTAGAGGGAGGAGTGTGTGCAAAGTTCACTTGCCAGTGTTCCCAGTGTGTCCCACACATGTTCCTTTTAGAGCACTAAGCATTTCAATGGGTGCCCCCCAACCCCAGAACACCACAGTCAGGAAGACTCTGTCTTCAGTTACCCAACAATTAACTCTGAGAGGAAGCACAGTTTCTTTCCAACAGCAGACCCAGAACTGTGGCTTGCCAAATTCTTTCTTCCTATAGTAAGCGTCCTTACTTCATGAGGTTGTTAGACTTCGGCCAGGAGACCCACAGTACAAGGGCCAGGAAGGCACAAGTGGAAATATGGTGAAGGGCAGTGTCTGGCAGAGACTGGGAGCCAGGGCCAAGGGCCCATAGGTAGCGTCTGGAAGGCTGGTATACCAGTGTGGATGTTCTCAAAACCATGGTGGCATTTAGATGGACTGAAAGAATTTGGTAGACTGCATGTCTCAGGGCAGAGAGGAGGCACAGGCAGGAGAGAGGAGCATCCCACTTATCAGGATGGGAGTCAGGGCTGCTGCAGAGAGAAAGCTTTCAAGCAAACATACCATCTTCTCCAATGTGGTATCTCCTCTGGTGATGGATCCAAGGCAGCCAGAGGTCCCTGTGACAACTAAGCAGAAGTTAACCTGAAGTAATTTTGCAGCAGTTCTTTGCTGCTCCTGACTTCACTGTGAAAGATGCATATTTATAATTGATAAATCTGCAGGAACTGGGGCGTGGAGGGGAGTGGAGGGTCATAGTTGAGAATCTGGGTTGAATCCTGGTTCACCACTTATGAGCTGTGAGGTTTGAGGTCAGTTACTAAATCTCTAGAAAGCTTCAAAATTCATGTGAAAACATTGAGAACAGCAATACTGCATGGTTGTTTCCAAATCTGTAGTAGAACCCCTATAACTGAAATAAAGTGGCTCGTCAGCAGATAAAGAGTTTAGAGGATCGATATTTGATGCATGTAGTTTTATTGATATTATTCTATTTTTCTTACAGAAGCAAATAAGAAAAAATAAAAGTGTGCCTCCACAAAGAAAGCATTCAATAGAGTAAAAACCTGCAGAATAGGAGGAAGTTTTTGCTAGTTACTCTTCAAATAGAAGACCAATATCTAGCACATAAAAAGAATACAAAAAATTAACCTAACTGAATAATGGGAAAATCAAATACACACCTCTAAAAAAAAAGAAGTACAAATAAGCACATGAAAAAATTTTCACCATCTCTAGCCATTAGGGAAACTAAGTCAAACAACACTGAGCTTCCATCCTATTCCAGTTAGAATGGTCATCAACACACACGCACACACACACACACACACACACACACACACACACACCACCACCACCACCACCACCACCACCAACAACAACAACAACAACAACAACAACAAGAACAAGAACAAATTCTGGTGAGAATGTGGGAATAATGGAACCATTCTACAGTGTTGGTGGAAATATAATTTAGTACAACTGCTGTGGAAATTCTTCAAAGAACTAAAAATATAAATTCTATTTGACCAGTTTGTACCTCTCCTAGGTATATTTCTGATAGAATTAGTGACATCATACATCGCAGCAGCACAACTCACAGTAGCTTATCTGTGGAAACAGCTTAAATGTTCATCAAATGTGTATAGATAAAGGAAATATGGTATATATACACAATGGAATGTTATTCAGTCTTAAAAAAAATAAAACTATGTCATCTGTGGGAGAAATGGATGGAACTTGAGACCATCATACTAAACAAAAGAAGCCAAACTCAGAAAGTTAATTATCACATGCTTTTCTCACATGGGAAACTTAAAATATGAATACATAAGTGATAATAAAGAAGAGATCATAGGAAACTAGAAGGTAGATTTTTGAGATAGGGAAGGGAATAAGGAAAGAGGAGAGGGAGGAGGATGAAGGGACTGAAAATGAGCAACGCATATCACATGTATATACCAACTCCCCAAAATGGACATCACTATCCTGTATCGCAAACATGCACTAATTAAAAAATATCCTTTTTGTCAACAGCACACAAGCACAAAATCTCCTCAATCTAAATAAATTCTATGAAGAAAAGAGTGAAATATGGAGGAGGAGGAAAATGGATACAAGGTGTAAAACTCTCATGAGGAATATGAAAAACTGGACAGGATACTCAGCCAAGAATTTCCTACATGGTTAAGAGATTAAAAGTTATTGTAGGAAGGATAGGAAACTATGGAAATGAAAACAAGATATCGCAATTTTATTTGGATTTCTATTGTCCTTTTAGGGGCAGACTTTCTAATTTCTTTTTCATGATTTTAAAGACAAACATCATGATGACCTTAGAACATTGAGGTTCGACCTCACCGTTTCCTCTACTATTGCTGCCAATAAACTTGTCCTTCAAAGAGTCAGGCGTTTTTCTAGATGACATGCAAAGATTGGCTCATTTAATTCTCACATTAACCACAGGAAGTAGGAATTGTTAGGGCGTCCACCTGAAGCCTAAAGAAATGAATACATCATTGATTAAAAGACACTCCGAGCTACACGCTGACTGCGTATAAGAATGCAGCACATCCCGCTGGTAGACTGGCTTCATAGTCCATTCTTACCTCACTCTAGCAAGATCTGTCATGATCACACAAAATTTCAGACAGTACTCGAGTTTATAAAGCAGAATCTCAGCCCTCCTGCCCTTGCTTCTCTCATTCCAGTACCCTAGAGGTAACTGCTAGTTACAGTTTACTTAATAAGTAAATATTTGTTAGATGAATGGATATGTTCTTCCAAAACTTGTCCTTCTGAAAAATTATATATGTGTATTTTTAAGCACTTACTGTGTGCCGGGCACCATTCCTTGTGTTTGTGCATAAGTCACTGAAACCTCACCCCTATCCTGTGAGTTGAATCTAGCTGAATGACCCAATATTTTGCACCTCATCACCCATCTGCATTATATTTTCTAGCTTGTCTCTTTCAATTTTTCACCTGATAATATATCATGGACATTGTTCTCATCTGGTGTAAATAAATCTTTGTGTCATGAATGCTTTAAAAGGAACCCTAAAACATAAGGAAGGACATTTCAGGATCTGGTAGTTGGCCCTTTATGGCCCTGGTTCAAACAGAATTTCCAGAGCAAGAGAATGCATGAGACACTGTGCTTGTTGAAGACTCTTAACTGAAATGCTGCAGAGCTGAGCGTCAGTGAGGCCAACACAAATCTCTAGGATTCTTCCAAAAATAAAATAACTTGTGTCCCTGTGGTAGTTTTGTTAATATTTTAGAAAGAATTAAAGCTGTATGCTGGTGTTTACAGGAGATAGTTATCAACTATGTGGCCCCCCTCACACAACTGAATAGAAATTAAAATGAGTAAATCAAAGGGATTGTGATGGAGCGTGCTATGAATTAGGAGCTTACACAACTCTTTTTCCAAACAGCTAATTCCAAGGGCATTTGCAGATTTTGACTGAAATATAACATGTAAGTTAAATTCTTCAAATTGGTTATACAAGCATAAATGATGACTATTTTATTGAAACTACTACCTATGAAGTGAAACAGTACAGAAACTGTGAGAATGAGAATAAAACAATAATAAAATGTATGTTTTGGCACATTCTGCACTATTAAACATTAGGAAACAATGATCTCTTGTTTTGAATTTCCTGAAAGCAAATGGAAACTAGAGCTCATATCACTATGAATTTTGGCTGTATGGGATTAAAAACAAAGAGACGAAGGAATAAAGTTGAGCCAGTCAAACAAAACAGCATGAATCTTGACTCTGAAACCTGAGACGAATGTGATTGAAAAATTAAACACTCAAAGTTTATAATCAATACAAGTAGATTCAATAAGACAGAAAAAGAAGAAATTACATACACTGAGGTTTACAAATTAAAACAAACAAAAATAGCTGCATGTTGAATGTTGAGATTTGGTGCCTCGAATTATTTTTAGAAATCCTCATCAACTGCACACCTCTGAGGCTGCTGTGCACAGGGATCTTACAGAAGGGCTTTGCCTTGATAAGTTTGATATATTTCTCTCAACCTGCTTCGAGGCTCCCTGAAGGAAAAGAATGGAGGTACACAGTATGCTATACAAGCAGCAAGTGGGTGATCGGGAGCCAGGCACACCTAAGTTACCTGGGCAGATGGCTTCACCTTCTAGGGTTTGTCTTTCTCTTTCCTGGCATAGTCCACAAAAACAAACAAACAAACAAACAAAAAAACCAAAAACTGAACATGGAACCAAATAGCTTTATGGCAAATATTTTTAACTACAGTGCATCTTACTGATAATATTTATCAAATATTCAGAGAGTTAATATACTGCAAAAGAGTAGCAAATATTCTTGGATGGAATTTTTTCTATACTGATCAGTTTCCATAGTTTCAGAATTTAAAGTCTTTATGACGCCAATGGAAGATTCAACATTTGTCATACTGTATTTGAGATTTCATGTACCATGAAGGGTGTCCTGCATATTGTTATATTTCATGGTGCACAATACAATACTGACCCATGAACTGACCAAATCCATAACTGGCAATGCCCACCATGTAATGACTGTCTACTATGAGATCGATATCCACTACATTAGGCCCTTTTTATAACTGTAGGGCAGATGGCATTCTCCGCATTTTATGTATGAGATACTGAGCCTCAAAAGAGGAGGAAACTTTCCTCTGGCACATTCAATTAAATAAGTAGCCGTGATAGGACATAGATAATTAGTGTCAGATGCTAAAGCTTGTCACTAAAATATCTCTTGAACCTACACAACTGTGGGGGCTTCTTGTAATTGCCATTAACTGTGTGATTATTGTTACCTCCATGCATTGCCAGTTCTAGGATCCACACAGTTTTCACTCCTTTTTCTTCTCTGATAGCTGTACCAAGAAATGAGGTATTAGAGAATTGAAGACAAGAGGCCCTTCCTGAACTGAAATTTAAACTTCTGGAGATAAGGATTGGCTTCTCACTCTTACTCCCATGGTTGTAATAATTGTGCTCCATGCTCTCTGGAGAGTTTGCTGTTTAAATGGGTTAAATTCCTGTTGGGGCACAGACTCAGACTCAGGCCATCCCAGAACAGCATAGCAGCCCAGAGCAGACTGGTCAGAACACTGATGAGCAAGAACATGGACCTGCTCACAGCTACCCGCCAACTGGAGCTGACTGAATATCTTGTGTTCTCTGTTCCTGGCTGAGCTGTTGTATAGTGCCCAGGAGGCCGGAGCTGCAGATTGAGAGGAAGAGAGTCCTCTGAGCAGGTTTTACTCGGTAGAGAAAGCAGAATGGCACCCTGGCATTCCTTTCCTTGACCTTGGCAAATGTGCAGGTTGGATGTGGGAAGCTATTGATGAAACTTTATTGTTCAGGGCAGCTGATTAACACATTACTTGTCTCCTTGGTGAAGACACTGACAGTTGCATCTGAGCTGATAGAATGCTATGTGACTCTGCCTTTTCCAGGGTGCTTGTCATTGTCATTCTTACTGACATGAATATTGTTGTCAGCATGCACTTGTATCCAATGACTATCAACACTCTCAACACTCCCATTTAAAATAGCCATTTCAGGTACAAAAACAAACTCTGAAAAAAAAGCTTTTATTAAAATTCAGATTTCACAATATTCTCATCGGGGCAGATACAGACTTCATGGAGACTGAAGCTTATATAATTTTGCTGTCTGCCCTTTTATGAAAATTAAGCATACAAAATGGCATTGCTTTCCTCTTCTTGAAGGTTTAGCTTTATACTCCCAATTTCAATAAAAAGCTAGCTGATATAATTATGGTTGAGATACTGAAAGTTTAAAAATTATTTATATAACTAAGAAACTAAAGAGATGTGTATTCATAAACTACGGCAATGAAATTCTAAAAAAAACACATCTTAACAAACAGATGCAAAGAAAATACAAGCTGTGATGCGGTGAGGAAGAAAATTCAACTTGCCCAGAGCAATGCATTCCAGTGAACTAGGTTTCTGAGGGTTAATTAGGTTTTAAAATTGTTTAAGGACCCATGAATTTCCACTGTATGCCATCAACTTATTATTTAAAAAAGGAGATAATAGAAGAGTGCATTCCTTTTGCTGCCAGCATGGTACTAATATGCAGCCTGAACTAAAGGGGCTCTTGGGTAGACATGGGGAGCATCAGTGAACTGTGTCATACAGCAGTTGCTGAATGAGACAAAGCAATGTCAGGACCACAAATAAACCTCAGATTTGGGGGAAAGGTGTTAGCTTTTCTGAGATGGACAGAGGATAACAAAGAGATCACTTTTGTAAGATCATGTGTTAAATCAATGCTCTTGGAAAGTTGCTCTCTATTTCTGGTACAAGGTGTCTTACAGAAAGTCTAGTCATTCTCACTTAGAATGCCCTGAACTATAATTAGCATACGTTGTAACAACCAGTGCTGGGTCCAGCCTCAGGCA